CATATGTGTGTGTGTGTGTTTGTCTTGGGCACTCTGCAGCTGCTTTCATTATGCCAGTCGACAATTTCAGGCCACACATTTGGACTTCTGTGCATTTGTCGCGAGTTTTGTGCGTGTGTGTGTGAGTGTATGATTTTTGGGATTTTGCTTTTTTTTTGGTGCGCAACCCCCGCCCCCTCTGACCCCATGGAGTTGGCCGCTTTGTGCATATCATGAAATTTTAATTGAAATTTTTGCATTTTATTATGCATATTTGCCAGAAAGAGATGGCAAATGATGCGCAGACAAACTTTACAGCTGTCAATAACTTTGACAGCCAACCCACCCACCCCGGCCCCACCCTGACACCGCCCCCTCCAACACCACGCCCACAAGCAGGGCCTGCGGTGGGCAATGCAGCACTCATACGCCTCGTTGGCTCAATGTCAAAGAGAGAGTGAGCGCAGTGACAACTACTTTTCGGCTTTGGGACGCTGTTAACCAACCATTTGGCCTCGTTCCGAGCGAGATTCGGCATTCAGATATTCAGTTATTCACTCGCTGCCCGGCAACATATTCGAATTTTTTATAGGTTTTGCGGCTGCGTCTGCCATTTCACAGCTGCAAGTATAATCATTTTTTATGCTATGGATTAATGCGGCTTGGGCTTGGGCTGAATTATTCCAATTGACGCAAAAATAATATTTGCATGACATTTTTAATGCAATTTTAATATGCGCGCGCAGCTTAATTAAATATTTAATATTCCATTCGATTGCAAATGCAACTCACTGCGGACTCCGACTACGACTCCGCCTGCAAGTCGAATTGACTTTTATTCTGCGTTAAGTCAATTATCAATAATATTTGAGCGCATCAGTTAATAAGTTCAATTATTTGCATCAATTGCAAGTTGCCTTTGACAGGTGCAAAAGTCGAAACAAGAAATCAGTATAATAATATTCAAAAATATTTAATTTAAATTAATTATATTTACACATAATAAATAGATTTAATGGAATTTTGATGCAACTTAATAAAAGCCCAAAGCCAAATAGAATGCATTAGACGTATAAAATCTCAAATATCCACAGCTGTGTAAATATTGGTCTCAAGATTATGTTGTGAAGAATATTTAAATGATTATTAGACAATTTAAGCCAGACTTAACATTAATACAAATATGCTGAGCACAGTGCAGAGCCGGCAACAAATTTTAATAGCCTTGCAAAAGCTCTCAATGGAGAGGACTTACATATTTTGTGAGCCTTTGCCCAACTTGGATGGGTCAATGTCAATGTTTAGTTAGCACTAGAATTTAAGTAGAGTATCAAAGACAAGCGCGTGCAAATCGTGTGCTGTTAAGTGGCATGGGGTCTTAAATTTCACTTAAGCCTTTAAGTAAATTATTGCTAATGGCTTGCAAACAGCCGCAAGGATATCGCAGACGGCAGATCTTTAACTGGTGGATAGCTCTGACAGAATGGTGCCAAGATGTGGCACTTCAGTAAAGTAATCACAACATTTGATTGATTGAAATCAATTTCCCGTCAAAGCCATGTCTGTGTATATAAATATTTACATGCATGTGTGTGCATGTGTGTCTATTTGTCTATGCATATTTACTTAAACTTCATTTCTTTCTGGGATATGTGCGCGTGTGAGTGTACTTAGATTGCGCCGATAAACGACGATACGCTTGAAATCAAGTGAAGCAATGGCCCTGGCTCCGGCTCCGGCTCCGGCTCACTGGGCTGCCATAGATGCCAGGCGCAGACATGCGACAAGGACATGCCGGAAAGCAGGCAGACGGGGAGAGAGCGTGGCATAAAGGACAAGGACTTCCGCGCCTTGCTCGCCCCCCTGCTTTATTCCGCGAAATTAATTTCAAACGAGTGACTGATGACGATTATAGAGAATCCTATGAATATACCTTAAATAATAAATGAAATGCATTTGCCTGGAAAACATGGAAAACATGCGTGGCCAAATCGAAGCTCTAAACTCTTGTTGTCTCTAGCTTTAAAGCAGGCCCAATGCCAATTCAGGTTACGCAAATCGCATTGCGCTCACAGACAGGCAAAAAGAAAACAGAACAGAACACAAAATACGTGGCCGGGATTTTTATAACCAAATCAGGACAAGGCTTCGGCTCCAACCTCTTGTTCCAACTGGCTGTTGGCCCCGTTTGTTTTCTTTTGGCAAACTCCAGATGCTTTCTTGGCATTGCTTTTTATTGTTTTTTATGATCATTTATATTCATCAATTTTGTATTGATTTGGTGCCGGCTACGACTTCGACTCCCCCTCGAAACAGCGAAAGGATGAAAATTTATATTTATATATATATATGTATATTTATATATATTTAGCATGGCAAAAGCCAATGAATTCGGATGTCTTGACTTTGGCAGTGCCTTTTTACCAGCTTCTTAAGAATTTATGAGCTATAAAACCAGCTGCCGAACTTGGCCAAGACCAAAAACACAACAACAACAGAAAAGTGCCCCATTTTTTGATTACTTTCGTTATTGTTTTTATGCGTTCTCGCATATTTGTTGATTTTATGTTGCTTTATATTTTAATTATGCGCCAAATGGATGATAAACCAAAATTAATACTTATTGCAAAGTTCAAAGATACATTCAAAGAAATCTCTCACATATTGTTCAGTTGGCAATTAGAAAAAAAGTATTCATATATTTAATTCTTTAAAATTAATTGCATATCGATAACAGAACAATCAAGGAACAGTCAAGGCTGGAAATAAGATATTTGAGCGAAATTGAGAAATAGAATCTGAAAGGGCAACGATTTGAGAATTTGTGATAATTTAGGAAAATAATGGAATAGCCTTGAAAATTATTCAAGGGTAGCAATTTAATATCAAAATTTAATAGACCTTTAGGTTTGTGACATATTATTCAATCCCAAATAATTCCTAACTTATTTTTGGCTCTCACTGTCATTCATGAGCTAAGCAAAGATTAAGCAATGTTCACATATATAAATAATAAATATATATATTCATTTAATTATATGTATAAAAATAAGAGATTTGGCATTCATTTATTAAGACATTAGTAAAGTCATCTGTCAATTGCATTAGCATTAGCTGCTAATGCAATTGCAACTGCAACTGCAACTGGCACCTGATTTGCCGCAGCTTGGGCAACTTTGTCTTGGCTTCTGCTGGCTGTTGTCCTTGTTGTCAACGCCTTCGGTTGGGCTTCTATGATAAATTGATTGATATTTGAATTTAATGATAAGCGTGCTGTTAGCAGTCGACCACTGTGTTCAGTTGCCAATTGAATTTGCTATGGTTTCGGCGCTTCCTTTCATTTTTCAACTTCAGCGCCAGCAGACGGCGTTATGGCTTCGTCCTTGGTACTTGCTCGTTGGTCCTTGCTCTGGGTCCACTCTGCCCCAGTCGCGTCTTGTGTCTTGCGAAATATGCAAATTTTTTTACACTTGATGCTTGATATAAGCAAAACTTTTTCACTGATAATGACATTTTTATAGTGCGTTGACGAGCTTGCCAGCCATTAAGGCCACAACTTGGGGCATGAGTTATTATGCTTCACTTGCCAGCAGCTCGCCCGCCAGCTCGGGTCCAGCTGCCACTCGCCCCGACCACTCTACCGCCCCGCCCACTTGCAGCTCCTGATCGAAACTGTCGCCGGTGTAGAACTAACATCAATTTGTGGCATTGCCAATCGATTTATATGCCAATTTGCATAATCATTAAGTTCACACACACACACACACACAGACACACAATTTACTTTTACATACACATTTATTTTGCATATATTTTGTACCACATAAACACACCTACACACAGACGCAGGTCCAGACATATTGGCAATACGTTTTGCTCGAGCAAAAGGTTCGTATAAAATTTGCTTGAATTTTTATATGAAATTGATTTTTGCCAGGCATTTGGGGCCCGCCCACTTCCGCCTCCCTCCTTGGCCTGCTGTGTATTTACCTTTTGATGCGCAGGAAACGACTTCAACTTCAACTCTTGCCACATGCGAAAGCGACAGTCTTGGGACTTGGACTGATTTTCAGGTCCATCTTCATCGTGTTCTTGTCTTTCGTTCACTTGGCCCGTCTGCCGTCGGTCCGTCTGTCTGTTTCGGTGTCTGTTAAATTTTCATAAATTTCAAATTGCTCAACTTATGAAAGTTACATAAATTGTTTAAACTTCGGATGGCCGGGCTGCCAATCTTCATTCATTTTGGCCTCATTAAAGCACCCCCAGGTCAGACTCGGCCCACTGAATTATTTATAAAGCACGCTGTGCCAAAGAAATGTGCAAGTATAATACGTATGCGAACGAATTTTCGGACATGGGCATGAATATGGCCCCAGCCTGGATCTCCGCCTGAGCATGGTAATGTGCCAGTTGGCAGTCTCCACACTCTGCCTGCGAAGGTGTGCCGGCGTTAGTTGACCCATTCCTTCCCGGAGGCGGCCAGAAACTTGAATAGAAGGAAGTGCTGCAAATTATGCCGGTAGCACTTTTCGTTGGCAGCAGCAACAGCAACAACAGCCAAAAAAAGAGGAAGTCGGGCCGCTTCACTTTGGCCTTTTATTTTAACTGGTATATTAAGGCACAGCAGGTGTACAGCACGCACACACACACATGCACACCTACACAGGAAAACATACATGCACATGCATGTATTTATTTTAAAATAGTTTTTTTCTTTTTTCTTTTCTACCCAGTTAGAAAAGTTGGCCATGGGCATTAAAAATGCTTTTAAATTGGGAACATGCCGAAATGCTAGGTGCATTTGTATATGCTTTTAGAATAGTTGTGGCATTTGCAACTAAAAAGAGTTGTAGCAAAATAATTAACTGAAGTGTTGAGAATTATTTTCTTATAATATAGTACTAGATTATCCATTAGATCGTATATATGTCGAGTATGTAATATAGTTGTGGCAATTGCGATTAAAGAGATTAATTACGTGTAGTGTAGAGAATAATTTGCTTACAAGACCCGATTATACATTATATTGAATGGTATATATATAGAGTATTTTGGCAACAAACTCACCTGCATTATATATAATTTTTATTAATTTCCATGGCCTTCAGCTTAGACATCAGAATATCCACACATAAGTCGGGGGCTGGTCAGTTGCCCAGATCAAAACTTTTCAGTTCTTATTCATTTTTCATATATAAACTTTCACATTTTTAGAAGCACATTCTCATTTCTATTAAACTCCTTTCCGCTTGACTATTCATTGCCAACTGCGAACATGCCTTAGTCCATTTAAGCCCTTCTCTAGAGCGAAAAGTGCATAATCCGCGTACTCTTGGCTGAGATCGTTAGCCGCAAAGGCAAAGGCAAAGGCAAAGTCAAATACTGAGACAAAGGCCCAAGCCAAGTTAAAAGCGCCGCAAAGCTGTTCCGGACCTCACTTTGGCTCACTTTGAGCCACCTTTTTGTGTGCAAATTGCATTAAGCATATTAATTTAGCTGCTAAACTGAGCTTTGCACTGCATGTGCGAGTGCTGCGCGTTGTAAATGCTTCGCCTTGACTGATTTTTGTATACCCTGTAAATACACATAAAATGAAATAAAATATATTAATGTATGTTTATTATTTATATTGTATTTTTGTATAGCCTGTACTTTATTAAATGGCTGCGAAGTGTATATTGCTGACTATGTTCCATATTATCCTGACTTTGTCTCTCTATTTTCATTTTAATTAAATTAATTGATTAAATTTTGTGAGGCTCGTACGTCATGATTTTGATTGTAGCTTTTTCAATTCAGTTGTATACCCTGTAATTACTAAAATAGCCAAGTGTATGTACATTCTTTATAGTATTTTTGTATACCTTGTACTAAGGTGTCTATTCCTGACTATGATCCTTACTTTGTTTGTATATTTTCCTGTAATATAATCTATAAAATAGCTAAATGTGTGTACATTCCTGGTACTATTCAATAATCCAGTTATCGGGCACAGCTTCATTTTAATGTTTTGTATAAGTTTATACCAATTAAATTGTAGAGTATACATAAGTCGAGAGCTATTGAGCACTATTTAACCGGTAATCAAAAGCTAGCTTATGTGACTCAAGGCGTCCAATTGCACTTTTGCCACGCCCACCACAGGTAACACAGATGGTACGCAGCTTTAAGTCCATGATAAGACTCGCAGTGTTTCTTTTCAATTTAGCGCTACTTGAAGGGCCACAATTGAAATATTACGTTTGATAACTGTCGCCCATTTAAGCGACAAGGTAGCCAAGTTAACTCTCGGGGCCTCTGTCCTACGACAGGCCCTTTGCCCCCTCGCCAACCCCCCTGAGGCCTGACAGCCAGCGAGCCGTGTCGCAATGGCATTTGTTACTTTGCCTTTTGGCTTCTGACTCGGCGCGCGCTTTGATGTCGTCGCTGCCATGTCGGAATTGGAGTGGAATTGGCTTGAGGTCGGAATGAGGTCCTCGGTTGTTGGCTCGAGGATTGGGAGAAGGGGAGGAGGCGCGGAAATTGTGCGCCGCAATCTCTTAAGACCGGCGACAAATATACTTGAGCGCCGTGGCCCGTCTCGGCTTTGGGCATTACCCAAGATTTAACAACAACTCCTGGCCTTTTGTTTGTGTGCGACTCTCTCCCTCTCTCTGTATGTGTGTCTGTGTGTGTGTGTGTGTGCTTGTTGGTCTGCGGGTTAAACGACGTCGCGCAGGTAGCGCAGGCTCGTAAATAATTAATCTGGCCGCAAAGTGCGATTATCAAAGTGTTGGAAAAATGTTAAATAGCTCCCCGAAGGCGGCGTCACATTAAAATGTGGCGACAGTTGGCTCGCTTGACAAATGCCTGACCCCCACCCCCTGCCAACAAGCTGTAGGAGGCGGGGCTAGCCGGAGGCCATTTTGCTTGACTGCCAGAGTTGCCATTTTGATATTTGGCTTGCAGCTTCCGCTGATGTTTTTCAATTATGCAAATAAAGGGATTAATTTGTTGCCGGAGCAATGTCGCGGGGAGGGAAGGGTGTGACACTAAAAATTATTTTTAAGAGAGCGCGAGGCGCTGATAAAAGTTTCGCCCCAAGCCAGACGAAACGCGACAACTATAAAAATTTCAATTACAAGGCAAAAGGGTGTCAAGAAGCACTAAGACGGCGGCCCCGCCCCCGCCCCTCTCAAAATTGACTTCCTTAAATTTCCAAAAGTAGTTAGAGGAAAAGCAGTAAAATACGTGTGAGAATGTCGTTCGTGAAATGCGAGTGCTTTTGCAGTGTTTCCACTGTAAGAAAAGTATAAATAACTAAATTAAATTATATATAGATTATATATAAAATTGTTTTTCTTTCAGGCTAACTGACGGATTAATTGTCGAAATAGAAGGCTTAGGCTGTGGAATATTAGGGAATTGTATTAAAATATCAACTCTTATAAATAAGAATTTAAAACATGTTCCACTGATGCCGGAAAATCCACCTCTATAGGTAGAAATTGGGTCTAAGGACTCGGAAATAGATACAAAATTCATGGATAAACTTTTCTGGTTAAATATGCTAACATGGAGATCAAGAAAAAACATATTCATTATAAATAACTAAATGAAATTCGTGTTAATCGTGAATGAGTAACTGACCTTATTAAAAACTTAATAAATATAGCTGGTATATGAAATTGTTTTAAAGGGCTAACTGGCGGATTTATTGCCCAAATAGAAAGCTTTGGCTGTACTTTTTTTTTTACTTGGGAAACTTTGTGCTGCAAAGGGGAATTGTATTCACTGGCTCCACCGATTCCGAAAAAATCACCTCTACAGGTGGAAACTGGATCTTAAGGCATTATTAATGGTCGGGAAATAGATAAGAAATTTATGGACTTTTTTAGTTAAATATATTAACATGCGACTCGAGTAAAAATAGAATCATTAGAAATATATTGGAAGAAATATTCTTGATGACAGTTCAAAAAATAACATAACGCTGGTAAGTGGAAACGATTCAAAAGGGTTGCACGACACCAGGCGAAGGATGAGCATTTTTTGAGTGCGCTTCATTTAATTTAATTTGCCTCAAAATTCGAGGCGTCAGTTTCTGGTGTGTGTTGGGTTGTGTGTGGAAGAGTGTGTGACTGGGGTGTGTTTGACTTTTGTTTAGTTGGCGTCTGTTGGCATTTATTTTATTTGCCGTTTCAATTGTGAGCTGCTGCTGGAAGTGGCTGTCGGGTATTAGGTCTAAATGGGGTATTACAACATTTTAACAACAACAAAAAGAAGAATAACAATGGCAACTGCTGCCATCATATGACATGGGAGCTGGTGTCTGGTGTCCTGTGATCGTTGGGTTGTCAAGTGTAGCAGTTGGGGGGCGTTGCACAAATTAAGCCCGAATGAAAATTAAACGATGCATGAAATTACTTTGCTGCTTCTTCGTGTTTCCCTTGTTGTTGTTGACGTTTCAACTTTTTCGTTAGCTTTGGCTTTGGCTTTGCCACTGGCTGCTTCTTTGGTCGTCATCCTTGTGCCGGAGTTGGCTTTTTTAATTTTTAATGTGCAGTCAGTTGTTGTTGTTGTTGTTTTTGTTGTAGTTGTTGACTTCAAGCATTTTGCTGAGCCACACTCGAAGCGGCGCAGGCGGCGTGGGCAGGATAACTGCAGAAGGACACACGCCATTTACGCAGCCAGCCTTGCACTCAAAAGCGAAGCGAGCAAATACGCAACTAAAGAAGCAAAAAACACAGCCTGGCCAATTTATAAAGTCAAATGTCAGTAACTGCAATTAGGGCGCATTTAGTTGAACGGTGGGCGGTGGGCGTGTTGCAGATGTCGCCAGTTAGCCAGTTCAGTTGAAAAGAAACTTGCCAAAGAAAACACAAGTTGCTTTGAGCTGAACAGTTGTTAACAGAAAACTGGATAAATGGAAACATAAAATTTAAATAAAATGTCTTTAATCGGACTGCTTATTCTTAGCAAGAGCTTTGCGTATTGAACTGGGCTTAAATAAATTACCTTAAGAAAAACCTAAGAGGGACAATATTTCGACCAAAATTGATGGAGAAATATGTATTTTATATATAATTATTTTATATATAATTGATTATGTCGTTGATTGGAAGTTTATTATTAATTATTTGTGCATTCGCAAGTGTGGCTATTTTAACATTATTAGAACGAAAAGTTTTGGGTTTTTTATAAAGTTGGTTTAATGGGAATTCCTCAACAGCTTTGGCTGTTGGTATATTTATAAAATGATAGTTATTTCGTGTCAAAGACTATTAAGATGCCAATGAAAATCCCATACATGAAAGAAATCTAAATAGAAAATAGTTCGTTCCTTGACAATTGTGGAGGAATTCCTCTGCTTATTAGCACATTTTATTGCCTATCTTAAGCCCGTTTTTGTCGTCTCCAACGAAAGCGAATCATGAAATCAAAGCAAACGAGCAGCTCGCATAATATAAACGGAAATGAATTTATAATGCACGACTTTGTGTTCTGTTTATCCTTTCTTATATATTTTGCTGTTATTTTTTATGATGCCAGCCATAAATTGTTGGCCAAAAGCAAATGCACACACATACACACACACACACACAGACAGGGGGAGACACACACGTACACACACACATGGCTTGGCAGCAAAATGGCTGCTGACTGGCAAACAACTAACTCATTTTGTGGTTGCCACCTTTTTTGTGGCAATTGTCTGCCTGGCAACTTTGCTTTTTTATACAAGTCGCGACTGCGATTCCGATTCAGATTCCGTTGCGCAGTACCTGTATATGGGCGTGTGTGTGTTTGGGTATCTGATGAGTTGAGCTTGTGTGCGCATTGTTCAATATTAAACGTGTGTGTGTAAACCCATACTGGTTCTGGGGTTGGGCGTGTGACAGCTCAATATATTCGCCATTTGTCGCCGTTGGAGCAAGGTGTAGTCGTCGCCGGAGCTACCGCTCTGCGGTTGCAAAACTGTTGCAGAGTACAGCGAGCTCTGGCTGAAGGAAAAGGTAAAGGGATTGGAAATGGAGGCAGGCGGGCAGCTTGAGGCCATCGGCATATGAAGGCACATGTCGCAACTCCTTCGCATGTCGTTGCTCCTGTTGCTGTTCCCGCTCCTGTTGTTGTTGTAGAAATGCAGGAAAATCAATTTCGTTCTCCATTTGCAGTTGGCAATTTGCATAATAAGGTCGTTTGGCGCAATTTGCATGTGAATGTGATAAATTCAACGGTTGGCGCTTTGCCGCACGCGGCGTATACGTTACACACACAGCTAACAAATGTGTGTGTGTGTGTGTTTGTTTTTTGTACGCCTTTTCAACTTTCGCTCATTCGCTTTTTCACCTTTGACACACACACACGCACACACATGCAGACGGAGCTTTGGCAAATGAAAAGTATCGCACGGTATATTAAATAAGTAGGTGTGTCCATGTCATGGCAATGCCAACTGCCAACCGGCAACTGCCAACTACCAAACGGCAACTGCCAACCAATTGCCAACTCTTGGCTTCTGTTTTCTGGTCAACTGCTGCTGCAATTGCCGTGCAATCATAAAACGTGAAACTTCAACGCGCCAAAATGTCGTAAAAGCAAATATGAGAATTTTTGTGTGATTTAAACGCTTTGCTGTTGGTTTTATTATACCATTTTTTTTGCAATTGGTCTGGCTATTTAGCCGGCACGGGCGGGCAGAGGCGTAGAAGAAGGCGGGGCATACATCTGGTGTAGTCTGTGCCGCGTGAATTGTAGACTGCAGTGACGTCCAGTCAACGGGCTCTCGTCTCTGGGCCATTTTTTTGTGCGGTCAGACGATTTGTAATATCGGAGCTTCGAGCTGCAGGAGCTGGACAGGCAGGAGCTGCAGGTGCTACAGGAGTCGTCCAGGCATAATTCATGTGACAGCCGGTACGGTATTTTTTTTTGTCCATACCGGCTGACTGCACTTTCTATTTTACATGCAAAATATGGCAAACGGCTAGCAGTATTTTTTTCCTTTTTTTTTGTAGCTAGTCCAGAACTGGCAATCGTATTTATAGGCATGCAGTCAGAAATCGATTTTCTAGACTGGCCATTTAAAGATCACAAAAATACTGTCGTACAAAATTCGGAATTTTTTTCGTAACCACAAGACAATATTTTTTACTGAGATATCATAAATGAGAGAGGTCTTCATTCAACCAAAGGTTATTATTTTTTGGAAATGAGCTATTAAAATGCATAGAATTTTAGAAGAATTTTGATTCTTAAATTTATGTGTTAGCTTCTTGAAAATTGCATGCATAGTTAAACCTTATTCATATACGTATATTCGAGTGTGGCTCGCTTACACGTTCGTAAGCTTTTTAATAAATCCTCATGATTATAGCATTTGAAATGTGCAAATAACTATGGACCCCCAGCCCCTCCTCTGTACAAAAACCTGAACTGGGCTAAAAAAGAAATGTGTGCCACGTTCTGGGAAAGCTAATGCATGCAGCTAACATGGCTGGCAGTAAAAGTTAACGCTTGCCACAAAAAAAAAAAAATAACAAAAATAGACCATAAAAGTGAATTTAGTTACCCTGCGCTGGGTTGGGGCTCAGATAAATAGAGATGGGCGACCAAGATGGGTTTATGGCCAGACAATGCAGCTGGCAGCTAAAAAAAAAAGGAGAGAGAGAGAGGGAGAGAGAAAAAAAAAAAAAGAAAACAATTGAGAGTTTGCAGCTAAAACTAAATGGCTTGCATTAAAAAATTGCTGTTGCTCTAATGCTCACGTTTCCTTCTTTTTCTCGCTCTATCTACTAATTGCAGATATAACCAGCTCGCTGACAATGACCGAGGTGAAGATACCCAACCACATAATGCGCCTGAAGAGCGCCCTGCTCGGCTGTCGCTATTCCCTGGACGGCGAGTCCCTGTACTCGGTTAAATGGTACAAGGATGGGCACGAGATCTATCGCTATGTGCCGCGCGACAAGCCACCGGGCCAGGCATTTCCACTGCCCGGCGTCAACATTGATGTGAGTATTGCCCAATCAGCAACAGGTGCAGCCCGAAAAATTTAATTTAAAATTTTATTGCAATTTACCGAGCAGTTAAAAGGGGTGTGGGGGAAAGTTTATGCTGCGGGAAATTTAGTGTTACGGCCTTATCATAATGATTATTTTCAAGAGCATGTAATTGCCATGAGAGCGAACTCGCCACGTTCAACATCTTGTTGCAGGTGCCCCCGTTGTTGTTATTTTCACGTCGTCGCAAAATGGAATTGCTGCCACGTAGTTTTGCCATTTAACTTTAATTTAATGTTGATGTAATTTTTTGTTAGCCATAAAAATGCTTTCCCACTCTTTCTCCCTGCTTAACTTGGGTCACGTTGCGGTTTGGCCCTTCGACTCTGCTGTTTAACGTATATTGTACACGTCAGTCAATTTCAATTGCGATTGAAAAGGTTGCACAGCCAAAATCACTTAAAGCTGCCAATCCTCCGCCTGAACCCACTTTGGCTGAGCCGAACTCTAATAATAATAATAATAATTTGCTAAAGCACTTAAGTGCGTCTACTTTGTGTGGCATTTGTTGACAGCCGCGTCCACGTCTACGTCCATGTCGAAGTCTGCATCAGCACAAAAATTGCGAAGGCAAAAGCGAATGGCAAATAAAGCAAAGCCAAGGCAATTGACGTACGGCCAACGCGGCGTATGAGCAACGCGAGCGCGACTTTTATAGCTTGTGCGTGCCCGGGCCACAGCTCGTCCTTGCGACGCGCCCCCTCTCTGGCCGACCGTGCGTAAAGTGTAGGCGTGAATGTCTACATTTAGACATGAAAGAGTTGTGTTCATGTAGCAGATATTTATGGTCGCATGCGTGATCGGAACAAAGTCCAGTTACAGCCGAACGGTGGGAAGTCCCGAGGTGACATAGATTGTGGCCGGTTGTTAAGCATAATTGCTGGCACTTTGTAGCTTATTAAAGTGCATGCATAATAATAAAAAAAATTTTCAAAGAATGCAGGCATATATGCGCATATCTGGCCTTCGACTTTCGAAGGGTTTTCCAGAAAGCTGCGCGTTTAATTATTGAATGAATTTTAATACTAATATAATATGGCTTGTTATTAAAGTCTATAAATAATACTTGCATTTTTGTGGTAAGATTTAACTTTAGTTAAGAACGAGTCAGTAAACTTTTTATTTAGATGCACGCTACACCTCATTTAATTCGGCTTCCAACAGGTACTTCACATTAGCGCAAAAATGTTTCGTAGAAATTCCTAGCTGTTGAGCGTTTCGCATAGCTGACAGCTGTTAACTGCCAGAACGGGTTGGGAATCACAATAAATTGTGTGAATTGCATTTTGTTGCAGCCATCATAAACAAAATGGCGCCCGCACGTACCAAGGGCTATGCAATAAAGCGAAGCAGTACCCCCGCCCCCACGCCTCTAGTCCATCCCTTGTCCGTCCCTTAATACTAAAAGGCGACTACAATTTGAATTGTGGCCGGGCTTTTGGGCTAGAGAGGCCTGCCGGTCTCTCCCGTTTACTGCTCGACTGTTTGTGCAGCGGGCGCTGACAACTTGAGCGTTCATAGAAATTGGCAAGCCTGAGTCGCCCTGCCCCTACTCACCGCCCACTCTGTGCAGGAAGGAATCGGCTTAAGCACTAGAAAGAAACAAACAAAGCCAGTTCGCAGTCATTGTAACGGGGTAATGGAAGCAAGTCGGGTTGCGGGGAGCTGCGGGCAACAAGCAACAAACCAAAAATAATGTTGAACGTGACTTTTGTGATTGTTTGCAGCAGCGAGAAGCGCAGAGAAGAGCTCGCTGTGGCGATGATACAGAGGGGGGCGGGGGAGCATGGAATTTTCATAAAAATTTGCTCGACAAGTTTTTCGGGCAGCGCCGTCAAGGAAAATGGAAAGAAATGAAAACTTTAGCAACCACTTTCAGCTGCGTGTCCGTGTGTGTGTATCTGTGTGTGTGTGTGTGTGTGTCCCTGTGTGTGTGTGTGATAATAAAACTGCAGCTTAAAGAACTTGACTGCAATTGTTTCTGGCAAAGATGTTGAGCGACTTTTACAACAGCCAACGCTCCATCTCTATCGCCATCTCCAGCTCCTTCACATCTCCCACACATGCTTTTCCCACTTACATTCTCATGCGTTCTGCACTGGTTACACAGTTGCGTACGTATTCATGCACTTGGTGTGTGCGGAATGTTACGATTGTTTCCAGATATTTCATTGCTTGCTTTTGGCTCTGGCTCTGGCTCTGGCTTATGACTTGTGCATTTTGTTCTGCAGCTCTGTGGGGCTCTTGACCAAATTACATTTTGGCCACGCCCAGTGCCTGTCTGAAGGCTGGTAAACCTTAAACTAATAATATATACACTGAGCGACGGCTTCTAATCCGTCTTCTTCTTCGTTTGCTCTACAAATCATCATCAATCTTAATTTTTGAGTCAAAAAAGGCAGCCCAACCGCAAAAAGCAAAATCTGAAATTGTGAAAATCTGTAAATCTAATTGCCTTCATTTTGGGGCTTGGGGCGACCTAATGTCGAGTCACGGTACAGTAATTTATTTGAATTTCGACTTGCAAAATATTTAACAAACATTTTTCGCCATTTTCTCCTCTCTCTCTCTCTTTCTCTCTCTATCCCCGAACAGCTGAGGAACTCCTCGGACACGCAGGTAATGCTGCGACGCGTAACGCTCCAAACTTCCGGCCTGTACCGCTGCGAGGTGTCCGGCGAGGCACCCGCCTTCAACACCGTCTCCGAGTCGGAGACAATGACTGTTGTGGGTAAGTTTCAGAGTCCAGAGTGCCTCATATTAATACAAAAAAAACTGCTCAGTAGAAGGTGCAATATACTAGTAGGAGAACAGTTGGATGAATGTGTGAAAAAAAAAACAACAAGAATTTAATTAAAATGCTAATGGTTCAGAATATCTACGGCAGTCCACAATGTTGTTGAATGACAGTTTCAAGTGGGCTTCAGTTTTGGGGCGGGGCAAAAGATGTGCAACAGAATTGTCAAGGCGAGAAAAAATAGGAGACGCAAGGCGACAAAACGCTAACAAAAGTCGAAAGGAACAGCAGATTTTATATAGAAATTGAGATTGCAACAGATTGAAGAAGGCATTTGTGTTGGGCTTAAATTGCAGAAACAGGTAAGAATCTGGTCAAAGCAATAACTTAATTGTTTTTACCTTAAGCCGCACTCTTATCAAGGCAGCCACAGGACATTCAACACAGCTGAGACCTTGCAACTTGTCGCCTCCGAGCATAATGAAATTCATTCTCAGCTGCGGCTGCTGCGTGAATTCTTATAAGAACGCCCTGCGCTGCCTTGGCCTCAGCCTCGGCCTCAGCCTCAGCCGCAGCCTCCCTTTGCTTTAAAGCCTTTTCACTTTTCTGTTTTTGCTGTTGCAGCCCTGGTTCCATTCTGTTCGCTTTTTTACTTAATACAACTGCATAATCTAAGCAAACAATTGAAATGGAATTTGCAGTCGTCCTCGTCGCAGTCGCAGTCGCAATAACAAAAGCCAACAGAGAGATGCATACATTCAGGCGCACTCGCATGTGAATGCGACGCCCCACTACGAAGGGTTTGTGTATACGTGTGTGTGTGTGTGTGTGTGTGTGTGTGTGTAGATAAATGCGCTGCCATGCAATTGCAAGTGTGTGGGCGTGGCTGCTGCAACTGTCATTGCAATTTGAAGTAAAATTATGTTTTCATGTCGTGCGATTTAGTTGAGTAAAAAAATGGGTTAAGACAAAGAGCCATCTGCCGGCGGGTAGCGAGGACCACAGTTGCCTTTTGTCAAGAGCACTTGGGAAAGTCGGAAAACTAGGAAAACTTTGCATTATATTTACATGCATATGCAAAGTGCTTTGGCTTAGAATTTTATTGGAATTTGCGCCACGCAGCCACAACTCAATCAGAAACCACAGCAGCCGCCAGGCACCCGGCGTTAGCCTGCAGCTAATCACAAATTTATAAACTCATAAAAAATCAAACAGTTATCAATATGTGCAGCAGCCGCTGCGGTAAGCAGCGAGTGCCTCGGGGCAGCTCCAGCTCATCACCATCATCATCATCATCAGCATTATGATCATTATGTTTAGCTGGCTGCCCACTTGACGCCCACTTTGAGCACATTTCATGCTGATTTGGCAGCCTTTGGCAATCCCTCGTGCTCTCTAACAACCCCTAAGAACAACGGCTCAGACGCATCGGAATGTTGCGGAAATGGTTTTGCATATTAAACAATGTCCTCGGCGCTGCCAATTGGGCGACATTCGACTCGATGAACAACAGCAAAAAAAAAGAGAAAAAGGCTGTCAGTCCACAGTATCCAGTCCCCAGTCCCCAGTGTCCCCAAAGAGCTGTGGGCGGGCTTGGCAAATCGAACCGAAAAGGGGCAAAGCTGGCGACTCATCATCAACAACTCTGCCAGCAGCAGCAGCCGCATCCTCATCATTCTGCTCGTCCTCCCAATTCCCCACTCCCTTTCACATCATCTTGGTTATGACCGATGCTGCTGCTGCAAGTGAGCCATAAAAAATGCTTTAGTGCGTTTACTTCGTGCTTTCCCTGGGCCCGAGTCCACAGTGGACACAAACAGCAGCACAGTGGAACAACAATTGGATAAAACGCTCAAAAATGATAGCAAAAAAAACTGTTTGCTTCTAGTTTCTCGTTCTCGTTTCTCGTTTTCACAAATAATTCGAAATTAAGTGTTTGCTACAAAATTTTTTTTTGTGTTTTTGGCTTTGCCCCACAGTGGTTAATAATCCTTGACTATTGTTTGCTCCCTAAACAAAACCATTGGAATATACTTACATACAAATATTTTTCTTACCGGGAATACAACCCGTATCTAATTGGAATTTTATATCGCAATATGCTGGCACCTCTTTGTCAGTTATGTTCCCCTCTAGACTAAGACTAAGTCTAGCGTGCTTACCTGCTGCTTCTTACCAATTGAAATTTACATTACGAGAAGGCTGCCTCTGCTGCGGTCAAAATGTGTCGAGCTGTGCTCTCTCCTTTGGCTTGGCTTGGCTCTTTGCTGCGGCAGCCATTACTCATACGCCGCATTGGACGGCTGCTGTGTTCTGTTTCGGAAACGAGTTAAAGGCTGGCAACAGTGGAAATCGCGACAGTTGGCAACTTCTGCTCCCCAAGCGACCCTCCTGCTCCGTTTGTTATCTTTGGCTTTACATATGGCTACGATTTTTAATGCACGATATGCTGCGCTGCGTCGTAGAGGGCATGTTTGAGCTGAGAAAACATTACTGTAACCAGTTACAGCTACTGTTATTCCATTGCTGTGGGTCCTCGTTTTCGTCCTCGACGTTGTCGTTGTCGTATCTGTATCTGGTGCTCGACGGCTCCTGAAATTAAAGTAAAGCGCGTTGTTTTATAATTAATGAGCACGCAAGGCGCGAGGCGCTGCATATGTTCTGTTCCCTTTTCTGTGTGTGTGTGTGTGCGTGAATTTATGGTTAAGTGCACTTTAAAGGACAAACATACATATAACTCACTTTGGTGCTTCCTGCTGAGTTTCTTGCCTCGCTCTCGCACGTCTCGCATGCACATACTTATAATGTGATCGCTTATCGATTTTACAATATAAAAAGCAATTGCCCGCATAAGGACCTGCATGTCCAGGGACCCCCCAGTGCTCCTGCAACACCAGTTCGTAGGCTAAGAAATAATAATAAAAAAAATTAAATGTGATTTTTATGAGCTTTGAGTGGCCACGCAGCAAACTACAAGACATTTATGGCTGCTCCCTCCCATCCCTCCATCCAGCCGTTAACCCCTTCAGAGATGGCCTTGCTAATGAACTGTAAATTTAAAAAGGGAAATCCAAACGCTCAACGGGCACGGCGGGAGAGAGCTTAATAATGAAGCTCCGGGATATCAGAGCTGAGAGACATACTGAGCTAAATTTCTTTTGGCCTCAAGCAAATATTTGAGCTCAATTTTCATGGACATCCTTTTTCAATCGGACTGTCATACATTAGTTTTCCAAAATTTCTCTTACTTAGTAAAAAAATATGTTTGCTACAGATAATTTGATAAATGCACCAAGAGATCTTAAGCCTGTAAAATGTATGACCATGTTAAAATAATATTTTATTTCAATTCAGCTGAATTGAATAACCAGAGAAAAACCACTTGTATTTATTTTTGCTGCTCGTGCTCATAATTCATGGCTGCAAATGTTTATGAACATTTTTGAGCAACACTTAATGGCAAGTCAGAATTTGCGACTCAACGCCCAACATGTGCATAATTCACACAAGCACACAGGCTTTGCATATAGATCAAGTGGCTGCTGGCAGCCCAATTCCAAATATCCAGCCCTCAAGCCCCTGGCCCAGCTTAGCGCCTGCTCCGCAACAGCTGCAAAGTGCGCTTACCTCCCTCTTTGCCTTTCCCTCTTCCAGAAAAAAAGAGAAACAAAATAAATAAAATAAGGGAGGAACATACCACAGCATATTAAAAGGCACCCCCAGCTGTGTTGACTAGATGCGCAGCTTGAAAGGCCTCCCCCCTCCATTTGTTGCCACTTAAAATGCTCCCAAGAATTGTTGTTGTTGTTTTTGTCGGTGGCATTTGGTCGCTTGCAGGCAGCTCGGCTGCTGCCTTAGACGCTTTTTCACCTTTTCGTTAGGATTTTTGTAACGTTTTCCATTTTTTTTTCTGCCTCGTTCCTCGTATTCTTTTTGGCTGAACAAAAGGTAGCAAAAGAGCAGCAAAAATGCGATCAAAAAAGAAAAAATGAAACCCGAAACTGCTTAGTCATAGGAAAATGCTCGAAATATACTTGAGCCATGTTCCATGTTCGCCCCTTGCCCCCATCCCCAGCGCTCGACTTATTGCAGCTTGCCTTGTTCTGGCCACTATGAGGTCCTGCCACACGGTCTGGTCTGTGTCCCCTTTCTGCTGCCGTTCCTTCTGCTAGTCCTGGTCCTCGTTCCGTGTGCCAGCCGTCGCCGCAGGTCCAAATATTGTTGTTGGCGTTGCCATTGCGTGCTGAGTTTTTACCAGAATAAATTGCAAACACACCCATGTGCGTGTATGTGAGTGTGTGTGTGGCGAGTGCGGTGTGTGCGTGGTGTGTGGTGTGTGGTGTGTGGCATGCTACGGGGCGCCCATAGATTTATGCGACAAATAAAACTAAAGTGCGACAATATGGCGTTGGCTTAAAAAATAGCCATATAATATGAAAACAATTATCAGACCGCTGCCCAGAGGTGTGTGAAAAAGGTCTTTGATCTTAACTGCCAGGCGAGGAGTGTGTAACATATACAAATAAAGGAAAGGAAATTCCTATAAATCTCTATGTATAAAACTGTTTGGCGATCAACACCCAACCCAAACCTAGGAAGCTGCAATTTTCACTGTAGTTACGTTGTGTGATGAAGCTGCACATTAAGACGGGGCTACGGGCTTCTATTATCGATCGGCCTCAAACTCATACATGCCTACATGCATACCTGCATACATGCATACTTGTTTACTTGTATACATTCATGAAACTTACTTTTCTATCATAGATCGGCCTTAAACTCATTTTTAAAGATCTTTGCTCAAATTCATTTGTAAGGTATTTCATAAATGCATACATACTCACATGCGTACGTGCATACATGCTTACATGCATACATGCATACTTGCATACATGTATACATTCATTAAAACTTACTTTTCTATCATAGATCGGCCTTAAACTCATTTTTAAACATCTTTGCTAAAATTCATTTGAGGAATATTTCATACATGCTTACATGCATACATGCTTACATGCATACATTCATAAAACTTATTTTTTGACATCGATCAGCCGCCAATTTATTTTTGAAGATCTTTGCTTAAATTCATTTCAGGGATATTTCATACATGCTTACATGCAAATATGCTTACATGTATACATGCTGACATGTATACATGCTTACATGCATTCATGCATGAAACTTCCTTTTTTTAAAATCGATCGGCCACAAACTCATTTTTTAAGATCTTTGCTCAAATTCATTTGTAAGGTATTTCATACATGCATACATACTCACATGCATACATGCATACATGCTTACATGCATACATGCTTACATGCATACATTCATAAAAACTTACTTTTCTATCATAGATCGGCCTTAAACTCATTTTTAAAAATCATTGCTAAAATTCATTTGAGGAATATTTCATACATGCTCACATGCATACGTGCTTACATGCATACATGCTAACATGCATACATTCATAAAACTTATTTTTTGACATCGATCAGCCGCCAATTTATTTTTGAAGATCTTTGCTTAAATTCATTTCAGGGATATTTCATACATGCTTACATGCAAATATGCTTACATGTATACATGCTGACATGTATACATGCTTACATGCATTCATGCATGAAACTTCCTTTTTTTAAAATCGATCGGCCACAAACTCATTTTTTAAGATCTTTGCTCAAATTCATTTGTAAGGTATTTCATACATGCATACATACTCACATGCATACATGCATACATGCTTACATGCATACATGCTTACATGCATACATTCATAAAAACTTACTTTTCTATCATAGATCGGCCTTAAACTCATTTTTAAAAATCATTGCTAAAATTCATTTGAGGAATATTTCATACATGCTCACATGCATACGTGCTTACATGCATACATGCTAACATGGATACATCCGTAAAACTTATTTTTTGACTTCGATCAGCCGCCAATTCATTTTTAAAGATCTTTGCTTAAATTCATTTGAGGGATATTTCATACATGCTTACAGGCAAATATGCTTACATGTATACATGCTGACATGTATACATGCTTACATGCATTCATGCATGAAACTTCCTTTTTTTAAAATCGATCGGCCTCAAACTCATTTTTTAAGATCTTTGCTCAAATTCATTTGTAAGGTATTTCATACATGCATACATACTCACATGCATACATACTCACATGCATACATGCTTACATGCATACATGCATACTTGCATACATGTATACATTCATAAGAACTTACTTTTCTATCATAGATCGGCCTTAAACTCATTTTTAAAGATCTTTGCTTAAATTCATTTAAGGGATATTTCATACATGCAAATATGCTTACATGTATACATGCTGACATGTATACATGCTTACATGCATTCATGCATGAAACTTCCTTTTTTTATCATCGATCGGCCTCAAACTCATTTTTAAAGATCTTTGCTCAAATTTATTTAAAAGGTACTTCATACATGCATATATCACAAAATATATTTATTCTACTCATAAATTGTTTTCCTATTTTATTAAGCAATTTAGTTTATCAGACATCCTTTTAATACAAAGCTTAGCTTGACTGGAGAAATGGGCCATATGTTGGCATTGCCGTCTCGATAGTTACATTAGATAATTGCTTTTTGCTAAAAGGGATATTCATAATTGCTCAAAAATCTGTCTATTCATAAAATCCTAGTTTTGCGAACTCTTAGTTGGCCATTTTGCCAGCCTTAGCCATAGAAATAATATTTCTTATTCTATTATTGGCATATCGATTGTAGTTTTGTTCGTATATATCTGTGTCCATTCAAACCAATTTTCTTTCAATTTAATTTGCACATTTTTTTTTATATGCAACTTTTATGGAACTGAAGTCAAACAGAAATGCAATTTACAAGCCAAATGCAATTGCCATCCATTTAATATGTACGCATTTATGCAGTCAACCCCACGCTCAAGCCCTGCTGCAGTGCTCGGTGCCATTTTCATATATGTCTGGTCATATTTTATAAAGCTTCATATTATCCATATGTTAGAGTTACCGCCCACACAAGAGGCAGCTGCACTAAATTGAAATTCTGGCTAAAAAAAAGAGCAACCAAAGCAAAGTAAACTTCACTTTATAAATTACAAATAAGCAACGAGCCCGGGCCCTGATTTGACCCACAACTAGAGATGGCCTTACATACGGATGTATACCATCCAGGTCTGGAACCGGGACTGGAAACAAACCTGAGTTTGGGCCTGCTTCTAGTTCGGATTCGGTTTCTGTGCCTGTCATGCGGCCAGTGGCTGAGCGAACGAACCCACAACAAAAACTCCGACAGCTTCTAAGGAAAATTAATTTTTTTTGAAAACCATTAAAAATTAATTTTATTTTATGGAAGAGCAGCCACACACTGACACACATATGAAAGGGGCAGCTGCAAATGTTATGAAATTTGTGAGCCTGGCTAAAATGAAACAAGAAATTTTACGCCAGTTTTTATTGCAGAATAATGTGTGTGCGAGTGTGTGTACGAGGGAGGACGAGGTCTCTTTGGTTTTGCCATGGTATATTTATAATGCATAGAAACACTCGACTGCGTCTCGGCCGGCTCACAGTGGGCGTTAACTGGACGCCGGGGGGCGCCACACTTGACTTGATTCCTTTCTTTCCATTTTTGTGGATTTTCCTTCTCTCTTTTTTTTCGTATATGCCCAAAAGCGCTAAGCAATGAGCGAGCGAGCGTGTGGCCAAGTGGTTGTGGGCGTTAGTCCTGCCATAGCCATAGCCATATCCATAGTCATACTCGTAGCCAGATGCCTTAACAACAACACAACACACGCCCCACGCCTCCCACACCCACATACACGCTAAAATAAACTTTGAATAAGCATTTCGTATGCGTATAAAATGGGCTCCGCTCTGTAGGTCTGTGTGCCGTGTTTTGTGTTTTACTGGCACAAATCTCAACATAAATCTTAAGTATGCCCCAGTCCTAGTCCCAGTGTCAGTCCGTAGCTCCAAGCTGCACCAGATATCCCAACCAGAATCCACATGGCTTTCATTATAGCCAAGCGACGGGCAAATAGGCAAAGCTGCATGTAAAGTAATAAAGCAAAAGGCGCAACACGAAACTCTGCAATTGGCATCTGGTAAAGGACTCGGCATCCTGTTCACAAACTGGCCACCTAGTGCAGGGCAACAAAATATTCAATTTCCTTGTCTCATTAAAATTAAATAAATGCGCTCTCTCTCCATATAGACTCTTGAAAGAATCTAACAAATGGGTTAGCTCTTACAATGTTTCAATTAATGCGAGAAAATATCAAATAAACCAATTATTGAGCTTTCCTTACGCATGTCCCACATACCTCTTTACTTTTTTTTAATTAAGTACAAAACGGGGCAGTGCCACGCCCCGTTGTCGAAGTGGAAGCCATTATCTGCCCTTGGCACGTTTATTACTTTTGAGTTGTTCTCTCGCGCAACACTGTGCTGATTCAGGAATTTCATTAACGTGAGCGTTAAATATTTGCATTGCTCTTTGCACGCTATCCTTAAACGTTTTATCGGCAACACTTCTCTCCCAATTGTATTGACTTTAAAAGTGAAACAGTACTTATTTAAAGGCTGCAAAGCCATCCCTTTAAGTGTATCATATTAAAAGAATATGTTGTTTGAATATAAATATGTGCATTCTTCTTTGTGAGCTATCCTTAAATGTTTTACCGGCCCCATTTGCATTGACTTTAAAAATGAAACAAAGTTGATTTTTAACTCTGTTCTCTGTACCCTCTGCCATATGCCTTGTCCCACAGTACATTGACAAAAGGAGCATACAACATTCTTGCGAATGTGTGTAATTACAGTTAAAGGCTTTTTGATGTCCTTGCTGATTGCTCTTCGATGTAAGAGGCCACTTACGAGCTGCATTAATTATGCGCGAGTATGTGCGACTCTTTCTCTGCGCTTAATTCAATTACATTGCAAACATTTCCATTACCTGACCAGTTGTGAATAAAGTTAAGCAAATTATTTTTCTTGCTTTACAGTGACACCGAATCATGGGCCGAAAATATCCGGCGGGCAGCCGCGCTATCAGATCGGGGACACTGTGCGAGTCAATTGCACATCGGCACCGTCGAAGCCAGTCTGTCACCTGAGCTGGCTGATCAACGGGGAGCCGGCACAAAAGCAGCATCTCAAGCAATACGACAAAATCGTGATGGGCCGCGATAGCCTTGAGATGGCTCGATTGGGCTTGGAGTTTCGTGTGCGTGGATATCACTTCAAAAACGGCGATATGAAGCTCAAGGTGAGTCCAGTCGATTGCAACTATAATGCACGGCTAATTGGCATTGGCTTATGCTTTCAGTGCGTGGCCAAGATCAGCTCCCTCTACTGGCAGAGCAACGAGGAGAGCGTGGAGAGCGATCGTCAGCAGCGGGCGCCCGCCCTGGAGTCGCGTGAAACTGTGGCCGCCAAATCGAGCACGATTGGTAAAACTCTTGGGGAATGTGGATTATTCAGGAAATCGAATGACTCATCAATATGTTTGTTTTACAGGTGCTGCTGCCTCGAGGCAGCCATCGCATCTCATATCGCTTTTGCCAGCCCTGCTGCTGCTCTTCGGCGCCGTCGGTTCCTGGAGTTGGCCGCCCGAAGGCGCTGGCAGTTAACTGGCTTCTGTGAATATTTGGAACGCTGGCCCCGCTTAAGGAGATCAGGAGCAAACCTTGCCCAACGCTGGGATCTATTGCCAGATGATATCATATCTGAGAAATTTAAGTGTAAAAGCAAAACATATCCTATGCCAAATTTCATAGAAAAATCTACATACACTAACGAGTACATTGCGCTAATAATAAAAACAAGAATTTCATTCAATCGATGTGTATGGATAACTACATAAAACCAAACGCAAATTCTTTCAAAATTATGCAAAATAAAAATCTAAAAAAAAAAAATACAAAAAAATACTAAAAATTCGTATGTATCAATTAAATACTATTTACATGAGAAAAACTACTCAACCTAAGCATTTAAGTAAAACTTAAAATTTTGTAAATATTAAGCATACACTTTAAGCAAGCAAGAGCCCAAAAAAAGAAAGAAAAAAAAAACAAATGTTAAACTAAAAGAAATTTAAAGAAAATTTATAATGAAAATATAATTTTCATTTAGTGTAAAGATTAGTCCCTCAGTTGATGTTGAATTGAGGAAAATCAGCAAAAGCTCTGTAAAATATATTTTTTTAATATTCTAATCGAGTGATTGTGCACTTGGTAAATTTGTATGATTTCTTAAACGAATCGACTTTTGTGCTATGATACCCAGGCATATAATTTCAACTTCCTGGTAGTTATGACTAGACCCATCAGTTGATATTAAACTGCATTTTGCGCATATCAAATTTCCACATTTCAATTGTATAAAATGCACCTCACTTCGAATTACATATTCAAAATCTTCAAATATATATTATACCTAATAGAGTAAGCAAGCACCTAATGCATAGTCAACTACATTAATAAGTTTCGATGTAAGAACTGTAAGGCCAGCCTGTTTAAAGAATCCCATTGAAAGAATCCGCTGTTCGACTCGAATGGAAGTCCAAAATAAAAAAAAAATAAAAACTAGCTGTAAATAGCAAATGAACAGAAAAGAAACTTGTTAAGAAACTAGAATGAAAATCATCGCAACAAGATGACAAATTAGCTCCAAATATATCACCTTTGTGAAATAACTTTAAAGCTGTCCTGAGTGAGGGCTTGTTATCAATTTTTATTTATTTTTATTTTTTCAGTGTTTTTGTAAATAAGCATAAATTGCAATTTATCCATAGAGTAATGAAATAATAAAAATTTTAATTCCCGAAACCTATGTTTCGTTTTAAATCCATTTTAGACATTTATGTACTTAAAGTAGGCTAAATGTTTTTGTCAGTCCCGGATAATTAATCATACTTGTAGTTGGACTACTGAGAGTCGACATTTTTGACAAATTTGTAGCTCTTTCATTTGGTTGCGATTCCCATAGACAATTAAATTAGTCAGTTTTGTAATAAAAGTTTATCCCTTACCACAGCAATTGAGACTCCTACTGATTGTTATGTTCAAAGACCATAAAGCATTTCTTTGATCTTGGTTTAAGCTCTGTGCAGAGATAATAATCGTTGTTTTATGCTAATTTAAAGAGCTTGAGTCACAAAGGCAGCACATGTCACACCCACTTCAAACCTGGCTGCGAAACAATTTGTACCAGAAAAACAGCCCAAAAATGGAAATTGCCTCAAGAGGCAACACGAAAGGTGTGCAACAAACCGCAAAATGCATGCAAGTCAAGACAAAGAAACAAACAAGTCCCAATTGGTGCAGGCCATATGACTCATAGGGCTTAAGTCAGTGCCCACAACAACTCGATGGACTCCCCTCGTGTTCCAGGCCCTGGTTGGCAACTTGACAGCTGCACGGCAGCCTGTTTGTAGTTGTTGCTGCTGGGGTCATAACAGCTAATTTGCATACAAAGGCGTTCGATTGAGGCCAAGTGGAACAGCTGCACGCGAATCCACACTCCATTGACCAGTTTTGGGCCAGGTTTATCATATTTTTGCAATAGCCGTCCAAATAGCCCGGGCGGGCAATGCAGCTTGGCATTTTGATTGATATTTAATATTTGTTAATGATAAAACCATACAATGATAAAACTAGCCAAATTAAATGTTCTTGTAAATATGCAACATGTAAACGGATACATTCCCCTAGACTCTAAGAACTGTAAGAACTACACATTAAACTAGACGAGCGGCTCTTCAAATATTCTCCATTAAATCTAAGCTAAACTTGTGCGTGTTGTAAATTTAACAAATTCACAAAATAAAACTTACGATCAGCCAACAGAAAACAGAGAAAAGAAAACAGACAATGTAACGCAATGGAAAATTTAAAATCGGAAAAACTAAAAAAAATCACTTCCTCAAAGTGTTTTTTCTTTTGGGCTTATAAACTTTGTTATGTCCGAAATATTTTGTTAAATCAGTTTTTAAAAGCGACCGCATGTTTAAAATTAGTTTGTAATGTGAAAAACGAATAAAACAAAACAACTAAACAAATTCTTTAAATTAAATCAATGCATTTTCTTACCATTGGAATTGCCTGTTAGAGCAATCGCCTTTCGGTTTCCGCTAGGCATCTTCACTTACTATATTGACATTATTTTATTCTCGTGTAGCAAATGCAGTAAAAATTATTTTTGCCTTAAGCATTTTTAACTTTATTTCAATAAATGCCAGTAAAAAAATTAAGTGAGTAGCTCAAAGCATAAAAGGTAAAATAAATAAAACCTGAGTCCTTTATATTAAGAGTTCATTATTTAATTTATTACTATATTATTAATATTTTAATATTTATAATATAATTAATGAATATATTAAGAATTAATCAAGTATTTTTGCCGAGGACTTTGTTTAAAAAATTCCAAAAGGCAACTTTTAATTCCAACACTGTATGATCAAAACAATTATAATATGCTTAAAAAACAACACCCCAAATCTTCAAAGAAGAAGAATTGTCAAATAAGATTTTATGGCATTTCCATTTATATGTATACGTATTTTGTTTATCAAGAAGCAAGATTATTATAGGCACTATAATTTTTTGTTTAAAATCGGATCCAACTACAGCTTAGTCGGCGATGATCTCCGTTCAGTTCAGGCATTTCTATACAATCCTTGCTATCGATAGTCGTGGCTTAAGAAACATTTTCCTATCAAATATGTAACATTAAAAACAACATGCAGGCTCGGCAGGTCTGAAGAGATCTTTCCTATTAAATTCGCTGCTCACAGCATTTCTTATTACGGAGGCGTAGGGACCTCATATGAAAGCCATCAAAATTGCAATGACATATTCGCTCAGGTGCACCGCGCTTTTCCAATTTTCGTTTAATCATATATTAAAACGTACCCGCAATTAAAGTGAAACCAAAGCAAACACAGTCAGACACACACACAAACCAACACCATGATTCATCGAAGAGGCGGGTTGAATGATGGAGGCAGGAAACGCGACCAGAGCGCGTATTGCATTTCCGCTGGTTATTCATGGTCAATAAGCGTGGGTGATGCATGCAATGTAGTCATAAAAGCAAAATTGCAAAGCAAATAAAATAACAACAACTGCAACAACAACAACAACAACAGCAACAAAACTTCCTGCTGTTGGTGTGGCAATGTGTTTATGTTGCAATTTTGCACGTTTGCCGTTCGTGTAGCCATCCCCCCCACCCCTTTCCCGCTTACAGACGACTCTCTCTGTTCGACTGAACTGATTGTGAGCCTCATTGGTTTGGGGCCCAAATTAGTTTTTGCCATTCACGCTGAAAATTGTGCCTGAAAACGCAGAAAATTGAACAACAAATGTAAATGGAAAAAACTGTTGCCTACTTTTCAGCAGCGCACTGAATAATTTATGAAAAAAAAATTATGGAGCGCATTATTACGCTTTATCTGTTCGATTGTAATTTACTTTATCAATTTCATTTAATTTAGCGGCTATAAAGAGGCCATACAGCGCCCGCGCAAATATCGCTGACACGCGACAAAAACACGCTAAAATAAAACCGAAATTAAGACTGCAAAGTAAGCGGCATGTGCGTGCCCCGTTTTTATCAAATATACGCTTATTGCATTTTAATTAATTGTAAACAGGTAATTATGTTAAACAGGCCAAGGCACACACATGCAGACACGCGCAGGACTCAAATGTATATATTGCTCGTAATTATCTGGGGGCCTGTAAAAAATATGCATTACCCACAGACGATTACCAAGTGCTTAAAATTAAAGCGCTGCATTGGTCGAGGAAGGGGTTGCAGCTGTGGGCGGCATAAAATGAACTAATTTAAGCCATGTCCGTCCGTTTAACTGCAGTTTTAAGTGCCGCCCCATAAATGTTCATTGCCTAAATGCTTCCGCCATAAATTTTTGCATAATGCGCCGCATGTGTCAATAATGTGCGGAAACCCATTTCCGAACTTCAATTGACGGCTGCAGCGGAAAACGCTTTATGGCAGCAACTGCAAAATTTTCATTGCAATAAAAAATGTTTTGATATTTTTTCCAATTTTTCCCCACAAAATACTTGGATAGTTTTCTATCAGCAGCTGTTGTAACGTATAAAGAGACAATTTCGTTCCAATGTGACGTATGCATAGAATAACATATATTACATATGTGAAGCCCGTCTTTGTTCCTTATATATAAAAATGTACTCGATCTCCGCCTTCAAAATGCTTATTCATTAGTATGAACTGAAGCATCTACGGCCCCATAAAGTATTTATATTCTTGATCAGTATCATAAGCCGAAACGATCTAGCCATTTCCCTCTTTGCATGACCATGTCAATCTCAGTACCTATAAGAGCTATAGACTTCATATATCAATATCGAAATATAGTCAGCAGCAGCTAGAGTAAAAATTTCTGTAAACGAGTGCTCACATGCATAGACACATGTAGAATTACGATTATATCGTACGTTATTCAGGGTATCTCCTAGCCGGGCACTTCCGCCTACTTTCTCTCATGCTTTTTTGGCAATACATTTATCTTAAGTTCCGCTCACACGAATATTATTTAAAAGTAAGAATTGCGACTTAATTAGCGTTTTCTCTAAAATTAAAAAGCACTAAGCTGAAAAGCTAAGTAGAAATTCATTTGTGCATTTTGTTAAAAAAATTAAATTATTATCAATGCAATTCTTCAAAGGGGCATATAGAGACAGCGAGATGTTATATTATTTCGATTAAAATTTATTTGAGAAAAATAGGATCCTACACGTAGTGTGGAGCACATGCGTTAGCCGAATGAGCTTTGTTGCGTTTGGTACCAAGTTTGTTTTTCTGTTGGTTTTTTTTTTTTTTTTGGTTGTTTGCTTTGGTCCTGTTGCAGTCGAGAGAGCTGGCTGCACATAAATTTCAATTAACATAAATTTTATGGCAGCGGAAAGTTGGCTAACAAACGCACCGACCGCACGGCGTTTTCAATTATTGTCTGTTGGGAAAAGTTTGGAGCGCTGTCGCTTTGATTATATTTTTGGCTCCTGCGAGAAGTGTGTGTGTAATGCATTCAAGTGTTGAGGCTTTAAGGGCTAGATTTCAGGCACATGTGTGTGTCCGAGGCGAAGGTTATTGTTGAAAGGCGCTTATGCAAAACGATAAAAGTCGAGCCAAGCAGGCGACATATATAAGGGCACAAATCTAGCCCCAAGGCAATAAAATCCATTTGAAATTGTTATTTTAAGCGAAGGGGAATCGATGTGAAAGTAAAGCGCAAAGAAAAGGTTAAGGCAGAAGTCAAAGTCAAATAAAGAAAAGTGGCCAAGTCATAAAAAATCAAATATCGGTAGAGTTTCCATTGCGTAGGCAACAAATGGACAGCAGCCACTCAGCCATCGAATTGAGTTGAAAACCAAACCAAATCAAATGAACCATTTCGGCCTCGGCGTTGTGGCAGATAAGCCAGGCCAAAGATTCGCCAGACGAGTATTTCGGCATCTAATGCACACGAACTGCCCAGAACACATTCACTTCAAAGTGGGCGGGGGAGGCAATAAAAAATCAAGGTAACGAAATGCGTTTTACTGCCGTTTACTGATGAAATCAGCAAAAGATAGCATACTAAGGCAATGGCACAGCTTTTGGGCTGGCCTTTTTGTTTAGCTGAAAATCTATAGATGCCCATAAAAGTGGCAACAATAATAAGACTCACGCGCAGACAGACAAAAAAAAAATGGATACAAAGAAAGGGATACATGTAAAAAACATCTCGATAATATGTAAATTGTGCGTTAACCTTTTTCGTTGTCATTCTGGGTATTGCACAGTTGGAAAAGTAGGTATTTACCTTAACCAAATTAAATACCCCCTCCATATTACATAGCAAGTTTCAAGCATTTGCAAAGCTGGACTCATAAACATACACATATTGAGCGCATCTTCCGTTCATACCTGAATGAGTAAACGAATACAGGACCATGTTGAGAAGTTTAAAGTTTTTAATTTTGTAACTGTTGCTGAAAACAATTTAGTTACATCTTTCTTTCGACAGCTCTTCGATTAGCTGTCAGTGAAAGGACTTGAGAAATCACAAGGAGCAACTGCAATTGGTCTAAGTAGTTTTTCGATATTTTTGAAGTGCAGCTCATTGACTTTTCCGCTTCAGTGACTCTGCAGCTGCAGATACTTCAACTGCACGACTGCAACTAGGCAACCATTTTGGCTGAGACACCTTTAAGGCCAAGCTGCGTAGCACTTCAGATCACGTAGCTGCAATGACACGAATTCATTTCCATTTCTATTGCCATTGCCAAAATGCCTTTAAATTCGCCTTAGACTTCGTCTGCCTGCTGCCCAAATTGTTGTTCAGATTCTATATAATTTATAGCGCCAGCAATGCCAAATTATGTGCCAGCAATTGCAGTCCTGTCTTTTCACTGAGACTGAAATTGGCAGGCAGCGTTTTATGGGCGTTTTTATTTTGTTACGCATTTTTATTGCAGTACGAAAATTATGATTGTATCTTCGGGTTTCCTATGCTGCCACTTGTATTGTTTTGTTTTGGCTCTGTCCAGCTTGCTAACGCTTTGTTTTGCAGAGCATTCATGTCCACTGTTAAGACCAGGAGGGAACTCAAGCGAGATGCGGTTTGGGCGCTTCTTTTTCGGGGCAAGCAAATGCTAAACGATTTCATTAAAATAATATGACAAAGCATGTATATTATACTTAAGCTCACAAGAATTAAAACACAAAAAATATAAAATATATTAAATAATCGAATAAAAAAGATTTAAAATAAATATTTAAAAGATATAAAAGAATATTCTAAACATAAAGTTATCTTCAAAATGCAAAAATCTATTTGTGATGGAGACGTAGTCTATATTAAACACAAAAGTATCCGTACATTTTATACAAGATTTGTTGAAATATATTTAAAAGAAGTTTTGGGCGCTGTTCTGTCTTGTATTCAGCCCAACGAACGCGTAAGGATAAAACCAAATACATATAGACCAAAAATAAATAAACAAAGGCAATGAAATTACGTGACGGTGACAAGGACTATGATATGACAATGGCGACGACGATGGCGATAGAACAGGAACGGGCCAGAGACCGGCGACAGGCGACAGGCGACAGAAAGAGCAGCAGCACGTAATTTGCCAATGGGGTGTGGCCAATGGGCAACAACAGACACTTTTTATTGCAAATCATTTCAAATGCTGCAAGTGATAACAACAACAAACAAAGCAAAGAATAACTGAAGCAAGGCCAAAACGAGCTGCAAGCAGACATGACATTGTGTTGACTGTGCGGCACTTCTGGATTGCATGGAAATCGACGCTGGAAGGGTGCCATGCGGCGTTGTCCGAGTGTTGTTTGCAGATTGTTAGAAAACAAAAAGTACTAATGCATAAAAGAAGAGCATAAGTTGTGGGACAGAATGTGCGATAACGCTCTCAAATACAGACAGCGAATAAAAGTTAATGAACCCAGAAAAGGCAAACGATTGTCTTAAGCGCCTTTCATCTGAATTTTTTATCAACTGAGAATGTTTTGATCTAGCTATCTATATAAATAAAACTGAGTAAGTGACTTACCGATTCATTGGTGATCACAGCCATGGCCGTAAGAAGAGGGAAACTGATATTTTCACTGTTGCTACCTTTTGTGATAAAGGTGCATGTGTGGAACATTCGCGAAAACATTTGTAGGAAACTTCTGCTTTGTTTAATTTAATTTGATGGGTATTTTATACATACATATATGTATACATTCAGACATGCAGATATGCATGCATGCCTACATTCATATTTGTATACATGCGGACACGCCGGCATGCATACATACAAACATACATACATGCATACATGCACACATGCATACATGCGTACATGCACACATGCATACATGCACACATGCAAACATGCATACATGCATACATACAAACATCCATCCATACATACATACATACATACATACATACATACATACATACTTTCATACATACATGCATACATGCATACATGTGTACATACTTACATGCAGGCATGCCGACATGCCGACATGCATACATACATATATACATATATATGTATATACATAAATACACACCAAAAAATAAACACTAAAAAAAAAAAACAAAAAAAACAAAAAAAAACACCAAAAAAAAAACACCAAAAAAAAACACCAAAAAAAAAACACCAAAAAAAAAACACAAAAAAAAAAAAACACCAAAAAAAAACACTGCACTACTAGCCCAAGCACGAAAAGTGCAGAGCCTACTTAAATTTTTGAGAATCGAGGAGTAGAGCACTTGCTGAAAGTGCGTTTTATTTAAATTTGCAGCACAGCGAAAAATAAGCTTTGTATGCGTTTGGTATTAGAAAACAAACATCCATGCGTATATATGTACATAAATGCACACATACATGCACGCATACACTAACACACACACACACACACGCATACACACACACATATTTAATACTTATATGCATTAGTTAAAAATACCTGCATTATTATATACTTTATTTCTTATAAACTCAGCATTATAAGATTTGTATAGAATTTATACATTATTTAATTATTTATATTGAATCTATACTTTATTTATAGCAAGTTTATAAAAATAGACGGGTTATACTTACTTAAAAAATATTTTTTTAATTGATTTGAGATTAATTTGAGTTCACTAACAGCTGCACACTTGGCCCACAGTCAGTACCTGTCAAGTCTTGATGGCCAATTGCGTAGCATGAGGTCTGACGTTGAGTGCACAGTTTAACTTATCATTAGGACCAATCAAAACTTTACCTGGGCGGCAATTTATGCCGTTTTATCTGAGCGAGATCAAACATAAAACTTTTAAGCTGCACACAATTGAGCTTAATATGCAAAAGTCTTTCACACACACAGACACATACACCTCAGGACCGCCGCAAAGTCGCAAAGTAGGCAGCGCATATTTAAACTTAGACTCGAAGCTTAAGTGGCACGAAAATTACGCAGAAAAAAAGGAATGTTTATAGAGCGACAGGCGAAACGTCTGTCTAATAGCAGCTTAGGCTAAACGTAAGCTCCATTTGAGACGAGGTTTTTCTTTAACGAATTTACACACACACGCACGCACATCCAATTGGCTGGCATTGTTGTTGTAATTAAATGACAAATCTGATTTATGTGACATTTGATAGCCAGAGCAAACGGCGCTTGACCAACGCCATGGTAAGTATTTGGCTTTTGCGAGATTTTCCGTGTCATTAGAGAGGGCGCCAGGTGGGACAGGCAGGTGTTCTGTCTGCTCATTTGTGGCAATTTGTTGTGCGCAGATTTTGTTGGCTAATAAATGTGCTGGCACCCACGCAGTTGGTCCTTATAATTTGTTTGGCTTTTGTCATCTATATATCAAATGCGCTTATTTTTGGCAGCTTATTAGTGGCCAGGCCACTGGGTCTTAGGGATAAGACAGCAGTTACCACAAGGTGTGGGCTAAGCTCTTGCTCAGCCAGCTGCACTGGCTAAAGCAGGCAGAAACTCCTCCTCAAATTTTACTGGGAAAAGAAGCATATAAATAAAAACTTATAAGACTTTAACTCAATTCTTTTGGGAGTCATCACAATTTTACACCGAACAAGTAGTTGTGTCTCTCACCTATGCAATGTCCTGTCGTTTGCATTGGCTCGTGGGCATCTGCTCTTTTTACTGCTAAACGGTTTGGCTTGTCGTTTTTTTATTGTTGCTGGGCAGTCGTTGGGTCCTGCTGTCACGTACGCAGCGCACATTTTCACGTATTTGAAATATTTTCCAAAAATTACCCAATTTTCCGTGTGTTTGCTTAAAAAGTATGTTGCTTAACATGAACAAAAGTGGGCCTTATGGGGAGCAGGGAGGAAAAGTGCCTAATGAGCAAATTTACTTAATTAATTACAAAATTAGTAGACAGTAGTAGAAAATGGCATCGCTTGATTTTGAAACAATTATTTTTTTGTTTTGTTTTATTAATAATTATTTTTCAAGATGCTTGCTTTTCGTTAATAATTTGTTAGATTTTGTTGTTTCATATGCTCGTATGTTTCAATGAATTACGCTTAAAGATATTTACAGAGTTTCGTTTCTTATTGCTGTAGCTTAGTTTTGTTGTTGTTAAATTCAAGTTAGATTACTTTATGGCATTGGCTTTCTTTTTTATTTAGTATGCAGCTTTTTCTATATGTCGTATATATTCGAATGCATATAATCTTACGTTTTGTTTTTTTATACATCTAAAGATTCGTTTTTAAATTCACAAATAATTTACACTTACAATTAGCACACATTTATAGTTATATGATTTTTGTTTTCAAATTTTTTTGATCGTATTTTGTCATTAAAATATTTTCTGTTTAAGTTTTATAGCGATGACATTAAGTAAGTGAGACTTAAAAACAGTTTACAGTTTACAGTTTACAACAATGCACATTGATTTATATTAAAGTTACACATTGATGCACTTAATGCGGCCTACGCTTAAATCTAATTGCACACACACACATACACACTCACACGCGTACACTCACTCAAGGACACACACATGCACACATGCTGTGCTACTTAATTAGCATTTAAATGTCTGCACATTGTTATTTTATTTATTTGTAAATTTATCTGCTTAATACTAAAATTGGCGCATTCATTTTATGTTTTGCTCTTTGTTTTTACTTTTGACATCTTAACGCTAATTTAGTTAGCGTTTTAATTTAAGTATTTACACATAAAATGCATATATTTATGACAATTAAAACTCAAATTAAAATTCTCGCTTAACGCACATACAATTTCAATTGTTATCGGATATCAAAGTTTTTATATGTGTTTATGTAGAAATTGGTATAATAATTATAATAGACAAAGCATTTGATATGGCGCTGGGCTATTTACATAAATTTATAATTGTGTTTGAATGTATTTCCACTCTCCATTAAGGCTTAATCACAATAATATCTCTATTGTTTTCATTTTATTCTCCTCTGTTTATTTTTTATTTTTTGTTTAATTATTTTGACTTTGTAGTTGTTGCTAAATTTGTCTAACTAAACTGTTCACATTTATAACCAGTTTGTCAATTGATAGGGCTTTTTGTTTTGTTTGACAGCAAAATAACATGGAATGTTATTAGTAATTTTTTCTTTCGTTCATCTTGTTGATTCTGAATAATAATATAAAGGTACGCTGCTGAACATACAAAAACGGACAGAGAACAGATTGAACATGGTACACTTAATTTATAAATAGTTTTCGCTCCACGGCTTTGTATATATTGATTACATACATATATGTGTAATTGAATTGAGTTCTCATACATACATACACATAAAAAATTTGGCAATTTATAAATTTACGATATGTTTTTGTTAGTTTTAAGACCTTTCGACAGTCACCAGCTTTTAAATGCTACATTTGATTAGATGCATTCAAATTGTATTTTCTTTTTTGCTTTCATAACATTTTCTTTTCGTGAGAATATACAAATTTATCGAGTGCATTAATTATAAATAAATTACATTGAAAAACATTTAACAATATTTTTGAATATGAATTTCTTTAGCCCAAATAAATGTACTTAAATTCTTAACTATTTATTAGATCAACTGTAAATTTTTGCACTCGTGTATATCAAATTACAGTTAAATGTTTGCTTTTGCTTAAAATTCCAGTGACAATTACTGTGCTTTTTTAATTTATTTAGTTGTATTATTAGCTATAGAATGCTTAAAACTATTTTAATTTCAATACATATATATATATATATATATTCATTTATCTTAAATATATATTTTTGTTACGTTAAACTCGTTATTTGCCATGCCCTACATTGATTTTGTTGGATCTGTTGAGCTTTTCCTTTGTTTTCATATTTTTGCAGATTTGTTTTTTCATTTTTTTTTTTTTTTCAATTTTATTTTCTGTTTTTTTATATGTTTAGTGCAGCGCCGCTTTATCTTATTGTGTGGAAATACTTATAAATTAATAACATACAATACACACATTAATTTTTAACTATGTACAGTTTTACGAATAACTTTTCTGCATTTTAATACGCTTAACAATTTTGTTTTTTCCCAGCTAAAAACAGGTTTGTGGCTCTACACAATGTGACGCTTATTTTAAATGTATATATATATAAATATATATATACTTTTTGTTAAATTTAAATAATTTCATATGCATATAAATATGGTTTTTCTTAGACAAATTAAATTCAAGAAAGCTTTTGTTAACGACATAAATAAATTAGCAGCGTTCGTTTTTTCTCTTTTCTTTTCTTTTCCCTTTCATTTTTTTTTTTGGTTTTCATTTTTATTTTTTTGATTTTTATTTTCTGCGAAGCGAAGACGGAAATTCATTGGAAAATTGGGCGGGGCTGAGTGCATGGGCGGCCAGCTTAATGCAGCTACCGCGCAGTCAGCAGCATCTGCCGCCGCTGCGCGGATGCTGCAACAGCAGCTGCTGCTGCCGCTGACGACGCGTCGCTCGCTGAGCGCCGCAGCTGGCGCAGGAACAGCTGGAGCTTTTGCTTGGCCGCGGGCAGCAACTCGAGCTGCACGCGCTTATCTTTAACTTTGACCTTATCTTTGGACGCATTACCATTAGCGAGATCAACAACAATATTTCTGACCGAATCGCGATTCACTCGGGCTCCGGCCTTGCTGTGCATGGACGCTGGCCAGGATAAAATGACGCCGCCGCCGGCCAAGGTGGCAGCCGTGGCCAGCGCCAGCAACAGCAGCGCACTGGGCGCACGGGCCATTAGGAGCGAGTCCGTTTTGCTGGCTGCGTTTGATTGAATGAAAAGCGATAAGAGTTTGGTAACAAATAATTCCCGGTATGACATACCTTGCACCGGGTCGGCGCGCGAGTTGCTGGCGAAGGCGCTGTCGCTTTCGCGCGACTCCAATACCGGCGCCTTCTGCGGTCGGTCGCCCTCGACGGACTCCTCGTTGCTGCGCCAGTAAAAGGTCGAAAGCGCAGCCACACACTGCAGTTCAGTTGAAAGCAAACAATGAAATGAATTGAATTGAATTGGCCAAGAACTGGGAGAAGCAACTCACCTTTAACTTCATGTCGCCGTTGCGAAAATGCTGCTGTTCCACGCGAAACTGGAGGCCCAGGACAGAGGTCTCGAGGCCTTCGCGGCCCGATACGATAGTCTCGAATTTTCGCAGCTTCTGCGGCTCGGCGGGCTCGCCGTTGACGAACCAGGACAGATTGACGGCTGGCTTGGAGCGGCCAGCGGTGCAATTGATGCGCACCCAGTCGCCAATTTGATAACGCGGACGTCCCCCAATTATTTTCGGCGGTCCCTGATCCGGCAGAGCTGCAAGAGAAGAGGCGCGACATCAAGTTGGTTAGTTGCCGTTCGTCCAGGCTAACGAAGTCAAGCTGTGCAGAATTTAATTTACGGCTAGTTGCAGGCACAGACAGGCCATCGTAATGTCAGCTCCACTACCAGCTACGTCTCCTGCCCGCAAACACTGCTCCAAGCGCCGAAATACCATAATAAACCAAACCCGGACCAACAACAAGAACAACAAAGTCGCCGGCGCCCAGCCGGAAATTCAATAAAAGTTCCAGCCGCTGATGCACTGACAGACTGCTGATAAAATTGCACAAAAAAAAAAAAAAAAAAAACGAAGAGAAAACAAGCGAAATAAAAATAAAATTTAAATGAAGGCGAAATCCATACTTGACGCATCGCAAATGTTGATACCCTACACAGTTAGGAAGAGTTAATAAACTGAACAACGCCTTTGCATAAGCTAACTTCAAGTAATTAATATTTTCTAAAGAACATTTGTATATATTCAACAGGCTTAGAGTGCTGTTATTCTAACATAGCTGTTATATGTTAATTAAATGTTAATGGCTTAGCAGATTGACAGAAACAGAAAATTATTGTTAAGCTCTAGTTACTGATTTTAAGCCTTAGGCAAATATTCTAATTGGATTTCTTCAGAAAGCACCAAACGCAAAAAATTTGGAAAACTAACTACAATTATTTGATTTTTGCCAAACAACATTTGCATATATTAAACAGGCTAAGACTGCGGATATATGTATTTGCATAAACAATTTCAGGTCTAGGAAATTTTCTAGTTCTAGGTCTAGTTTCGTTTTCAAGCCTTCGAAATACATTCCAATTGGTTATCTAAAAAGCTTTGCCAGGACCTCAGATACCATCCGACTGAAAAGATTTGTAAAACAAATACAAAACAGTGAAGAGGGCACAGCTTCACAGCCTGATGATACTTTCTGCCAGGATGGCTAAGCTGCATGACAAAGTTCTAATACCCACTTCAAGACTATAAATCAGTGCTGAGCAAAACTATGCGAACGGAAACGGAAATGGTTTTTTTGCCAGAGGGGACTAACGGCATCTGTGGGCGCAGCGAGCGCTGAAAAGTGGCAGCTGGGCGCTCGGGACTCAGAGCTGTGGCATATGCGAGCAGTTGTGTTGTTGAAGCTTTTAAAAACTTTGATTGAAAGCCAAACAGGCAGCGCACAATATGGGCAACAAAAAGCCAAAACAAAGCACAACAAAAGCGCGTCCGAACAAAGACAAAGCACCAGCCCAGCCCAGCACAGCCCTGTCGAAGGTCGAAAGAGATGGCATCGAAAAGAGATGGCAAGCTGTGTACATGCCCACGCAAAAGTTTATAATTGAACAAACGAAATGTCAACGCCAGCTCAAAGTGTTCCGGCTGCATGCCTGGCTGCCACGTGTGATTCGTTGTCCAAGGCAATAAGCGTGATATTCCGACTCCGGCTGCGAGCCCGGCAAGCACTTATGTAGTATGTAGTTCCTGGCAGCCTAGCAGCCCGCACTTAAAGCAACTTCCAAATGTTGTTTTGTTTGCATTTCGAGTTGGTCGCGGCGGCGTCTTCAAATTGTTCTACAGCCCCCCAGGAAATTGCTGAACAAGACAGACAGACAGTTGCAAAATTGAGTTAGATGCTGAGCTTTGGCAGGTTAACGCAGAAAGGCCGCTCAGGGGGACACAACATCGGAGTTAAGTTGAGTTTACTAAGCTTATTATAAACATGAAATCAAATGAAGCCTGTCAAATGCAGCCATACAGTTGAGCAGCAGCAAATGAATAATTCAATTTGCCCCCAGTAAATTAACTTGCAACGCGAGACAACAAAGGTTGTGAGCCGCAAATTATTGAAGATATAAAAGGTTAACTATTCTGAGTTAGCTTGAATTGCATTAATACCTGCTTCCGTATTCGGCTGATCAATTAGAAACATAATAAATAAAAAAATTATCAATAATAGTTACACATGTTACCTAAGACTTGGACTCTGAGTTCATTACACACTGCCATTCGCAAACCACAATTCCCACATCAAGGGAACTTTCTGTGGCAAGTTGAACTGAGCCACAGCTTCATTCGCAATTTCTAATTAGAATTATAAGTTTTCGCTTGACTTTGTTGATGTCCACAGCTATTGGCAATGGCAAAATTGGTATACTTACATACAACAACCATGTCGCCGTGCTCGGTGACCGTTTGGAAGGATGGCGCCTCGCCGGATACCTCACACCGGAAGCGGCCCGCCGACTGCAGATTGACGTTGTGCAGGTTAACAATCGCGTCGCTCGAGTTGTGCAACTGCAATTAAAAATTGTTGAATGAGTAAAGCAGCAGCAGCACAAAAAAAAAAATAATAATGTGAACAGCCAAAATGAAAACCCAGCAAGAGAAACAGGGCAAACAGAAGCGAGGCTGCGAAAAGTGGCAAAAGTTGTAAGAGCAAAGGATGTCGTTGTCCGTCTTCGAGACCGTCTCGGCCATGTCGCAGACATTGGCAGTTGGACGTCGATGGAGCAGCCACTTTGGACGTTAATGTAACGTAATTGTTTTTGAGAAGCGGCACAAAATGCTTTTTCAATGTTGCTGCTCTTTAAGTTGTCCACATTAAGGGTCAGTCCGTGCTCGGCTGCAGAGGCCGGAACGTTAGGCAAATATTTCACTTGAACTTTAAGCCATTAAGCGGCCAGCTGCTGGCGGTTGCAGGTTTCGCAAAAGGGTTTTTTTGTTTTTTTTTTTTTGTGTTGTTTATCTGGCCAACGAAAAGTGCACTTTGTTATCTTTTATTGCGCATTTTTTATACGTTTGTGTTCATTGTGCTCCTGCTGCTGCTGTTGTTGCCTTAACCTAATTTATAGTTTACCTAGCACACAAACAAACAGACACACACTCACGCACACACACTCGCACGCCCAGGTGAAGCTCACGTCTGGGCAGCCAACAACAACAATTTTCAACTGCAATAAAACAAAACGAAAGCCAAACAGAAACCAACTACGAAACCAAACTAAAAAGTTGTTAGCCCGGCCACGTCAGTCACTTGAATCGATTATGCTAAAACAATATCCGCCGAATGGAGCTGGATATAACCATTAGCTTTGGCTGCCCGCCAAACGTATCCCTTTGCTATCTCCACTTGCAACATGTTTCGCTTTTTATCTGCGGCCCAACATCAAAGCTGAGAAGACCGCCAGCCACGACGTGTAGGTGTGTGTGCCCCTCCGGCTGTTATAATGCGCATTATAGACACGTTCGGCCACGCCCAGACCCAACAGCGAAAAGCGCAACTTGAACAATTTATTGCACTCGAAGTCAGGAACTGAACAGGATGCGTGGGAGTAACAGGACATGCATGCCAAGCAGTTTCACTTTTTCGGGCAGCCGATTAATGGTTGGTTCGCTCTAGCCAAGCTCCACTGTACGGGTCTATGACTCTTTGTGTGTCTGCCTTGCACACGTGCTTATCTCGAATTCAGCGAGGCGCGCGAAGTAGGAAACCCCTCTCCAAAAAGTGTGTGTGCTTCTATGCGAACTATTTTTGGTAATGGGTGTGCGAGTGGCAAGAGGGTGGGTAACAGTCGCCTCACCTGTAACGTGCAGCGCAGTTTACGTACAAAAGTTTTAGTGGCAAAAATAATGGAGCAATGGCATTTAAGTGCCCCAGTTTTATTGTTCCTGTCAGTCTATTCTGCGATCATAGTTCGATTTGGGCGACTTTCCAGAAGTTTTGGGCGTGGCTTGGCCTCTTTATACCAGGCTATCATTTAGTGCGTGGTAAATTTAACTTGCAAACTATTTAAAACACAACAACAACTGCCACTTTAGGGCTGGGTTCAGTGCCTGGAATTGTACAGCTGGCCGAAACACAAGCTTTCTGTGGCAACTGGCCTCGACTCGACTCGAAGCTGGTGCATTGTCTGCTCGTGTTGCGCTCTTTCGTCGCAGTGATAAACAGCTCTTCTGCTGCAGTTCATTTTAAGTACACGGCTGGGCCGGGCTAGACCCATAAGACGCCAGGTCCTGGGGCGGCAGACCGTGACGAGGGCCGGGCTTAGTGAATTCTATTGTCTGGCTGCGCCGCAAAGCATGCAACGTTCTTTAATGTTTGGTTTCAAAGCTATGTTGCTCAACGTGTGCATCGCTTTTTGTTTTTATACCCTTACAGAGAGTATTATAAGTTAGTCGTGAACTGTGTAACGCACAGAAGGAAACATCTCCGGCCCCATAAAGTATACATATTCTTGAGCAGTATCAACAGCCGAGTCTATATAGCCATGTTCATCTGTCCGTCTCTTCGTAAGTCTGTTTCTATGGATAGTAGTCTCTCAGTTTTAAAGCTTTCATTTTTGACTTTTACGACTAAACCAGCTTGATCGGACCACACGGAACCAGCACTATGAGCATTATGAAATGGTTGAGTCTGGAAGGATATTTAAACTTCGGCTTGCCGAGAGTAGCCCTCCTTTCTCGTTTGTTTTCTCATTTTTAGGTTCTGGCAGGCATACTCACATCGACAGCAACACCTGGCAAACGGAACGTTTGCGCCGGCGGATTATCCCTGGGCACATAGCGATAGAACTCATTGCCATCCTTGTACCATTTGACCGAATAGAGCGCCTCGCCGTCCAGATCGTATAGGCACTCCAGCTGTGCTGTGGCGCCCTTAATCACGTAGTTCGGTATGCGCACCTCGACCAGACGCAGTCCGGCTGTGAAATCTGTAATAAAACAACAAAAATGAACAATATTAAATTGGTTCGTATATCCATTTACGGGGCTTTCACGCTTGCGTATGCTTTAATTTTTAATGTGACCCGCTCATGATTGATTTATGTTTAAGCAAATTGCCCGGCCGAGTGCGTGAACGGACCTGTTGTTATTGTAATGTTAATTAATTATAAAAGTTTGTTTGTTGGCCAGCATAAATGTCAACCCGTTGGCCAAATGAGTGATTGCCTGGCCCTTAAATAGGCTACGGTCCCTCCCAGTCTCCCTCTCTGCGTTTATAAAGCCGCAAAATTTATGTATTTTTAATATAATTTATAATAACATTTTATCATCGAGTCGTGGACATTTTATTTATTTTCCCCTCTGCTATTTTTATTTTTTAATTTACAAAAGTGCACAGCGCTCAGCAGCCACTCGACCATAATACTTATGTAAGCATGATATATAATGTGCCAGATATATATAATGGCATATACTACATACTCGATTAATAAGTCAACGTGATGACACAAATGGACGCCATGTGGATTGGGCACGGTTAACTGTAGCTCGACTGAGTGCCCTGATTTATGTGCCCTGTTTGGCTGAGCATTTAACTTGTAGTCTAGTGTATGTAGCACTTGAATGCGCCACTCCACTTAAGTCAACTCAACTAAACTAGACTCGACTCCATTCCACCATTCCACCATACACTCAGCTCAGCTCGTCTCGTGTTACGTGGCAAACTTGTTTATTGTCAATATTGACAATGATACACACACATTTAGAGATAAACTGCCACCCACTTGGCACATGCGGGTCTTTGTGCGTGTCTTATATTATTAAAGTCCCCAAGGCACATACACAACAGCAACAATAATGCGGACTGACTGCTCACTCTGCTGCCTCTAAGGATGTTGAAGGACCTTCGGTTGCCGCCGCCGCTTCTGCTTCTTCAACTGGAGGCAGCAACCAATCGTTGCACATTACAAGTGTAATAAAATGTGAAAGGATATTATTGTATGAGCACAGTAGATGCATCTCCAAGCCGAAGACCCTTCAACAGTCTAGCAAAGAGCAGCCCAAAGGACTGCGAAAGAGTATCCAGGCAACAAAAACAAACAACAAAATATCAGACTTAGAAAATGCAATGACACATTCCTTAAGGGCTGGACAGCAGCAAAAGTCAAGCAAAATAAAAAAATACCTGGCACAACAGAAAGCTAAAGTAATTACATTAATTAAAGGATTAAATAAATGCAGTTTATGAAAAAACAAAAATTAAAACAAAGGCTAAGCTATTATGAAAAAATGTATGCCAACACTTAAAAGCTTTTTAAGGGCAGGTCAACTATATATTAAATCTTTTTTAATATACCTTAATCCTTCCAACAGTATGCTCTTTCAGCAGCAATATTGTATGTAATATATTTTTTGTTACATTTTTCTTTTGTTTAATTAAAAATGCCAGAATTTTTCACAGCTTCATATGCATAGATTCTGTTAGAGATACATTTTTAAAATATATTTGCATGCTTTTGTTGTTTAAATGTAACAAAATATTTCTGCAAATTGCCAGAACTTGACGTCCCTAAATGTGTACTCAGGTAATTGGAAAATTGCATCGAAGGCGTTGATCTGGCAGCTGATAAAAGTGTATTGAAAGCCACAAAAACAACATCTTTCAACAAAAGGCAGCTGCAACAAGCTGCAACAACTTTGGACCAAGATGCATCAAGCGCAAGTGGAACACATGCTTGAGCATGAGAGCAGTTCAAGGAGCAAGCCGCAGCAAAGATACGCACATACTTGCATATAAAGTAAGAGGAAGTATTTTATTTAAACAGTCAAGCACATTATATCCTTCAAGACAATAGTTAAAGTTAACACATTCGCTTTTCATACAGCTTCCGACCGACTTCTAGTCCTCTAAGATCTGCATCAATATTTACTTTTGTTCATTTATGGAGTGAAATGCTGTAATAATAAGTTAGATATATGCCTTAATTGGCGCGAATTACACAAACAATTCAAGAGTATTCACTTGACCCGGGCAAGGCCGGGTTATTTCCTCCAGTCTACTTAGTTCAAGGAATAGGAACATTTTGTATTTACTTTAAGTCGTTGCCTCTTTCAGTGCGTTACCGATTTTATGTTAAAACTATAATACCCTTAGCATGGGTATAAAAAGTTAAGCAACTGCAGTCTGTTTGCAAGCGTATGTGGAATGTACTCTACATGCAGCATGCTATATATATAAAGATATGGAAAGTTTGAGTGTGTTTGCTCTGAAAGTGAATTTGGGTTGCATGGCTCGCTGAAATGTCTGCAATGGCAGCTTTTGACTTTTGGCACTGGTGCAAGGAAAAAAAGAACAGAAGAAAAAGAAAAAGAGAAGAAAAGCAATGAAAACAATGAAAATGTGAAAGGAAAACCAAGTCTCCACTCATTAATTCTGCTTAAGAGTCAGCACCAGCTCGATGCCGATGCCGATGCCGATGCTTGGGCTGAAGCTGGGGCAAAGTCAGCGCAACTAAAGTTTTGCCTGGTAATTTAAGTAACTTTGTCATTTAGGCACACGCACACACACATGCACACATGCATTACAACGGGAATGTCAACACACAAAGAGCAACACAATGCGAACTGGGCTGAGCATGGGCGGCATGGGTGGCATGGACGTGGCGGCATTAATATGCTCATGCTACGACCTCGTCCAAGTGAAAAATCAATTTTTCCCCCTTTGCCACCTTTTCCAATGCCTCATGCCTTGGTGCTTTCTTATAGCCTCATCGAGTGACAAGTTTTGTCGGTTCGCAAAAGTTTTTGCGCCATTCTTATACTTCATTGGGGTTAAGTGATTAAATTTGCACAAAAAAATAAAAGCCGAGGGCAGCTGCAAAAAAAAAAACTTCAACACATGTGACACTCGCCTCGACTGTCGCATAATTGTTGCCGAGTCGAAAAACTAAACTTTGTTGCATGCATTTTGGGGCAACGAAATTTGATTATGTTGATTATGATGACAAAGTTCCGGTTGGTAGTCGAAGAGGGGGGTCGTGTACGGTGCTGACATGGCCGGCAAATGATTTGCCGGCAACTTTGAATGGCAATTTACCCTTTTCGACAGCTCCAAAGAATTCCCAAAACTGTTGCCGGCGGGGGGTTGCGGGATTGCGGGCCACCACCGGGGGCTGCTTGTTTAAGCTATCAGTCGATAAGCATGCGAAGGGCCCATTGAAGCGGGCAATGCCAATGGAAATGGCAACAGGACCGGGCACACTTCTAATGTCGGTCACTTTTGGTCTTTGGTCCAAGTTAGCATCGTCTTCTCGTTTTTTTGTAGTTGTTGTTGTTGGTCTCTTTTTTCTGTTGTTGTTGTGGGGCTGTTGTCCTCGGGGCAGTTTCAGCTTAATATCCGTTGCCATTGTTGTTGCTGTTGTTGCTGCTGTTGCTGGTTTATTAGTAGTTCGTGCAGGATAGAGGCAGGATGTCAGGATGCCAGCACGCCGGGATGCCTGCCTGGCATGTCTGCTGGGACTGCGTCGAGCTGCCGCTGCCACATAAAAGCAGAAGCTGTTTGCTTATGTAAATGTCTGCATATGAGCCTCGCACCACATCCTGTGACCCACGTTCCATGTCCTGCCCACAGCGAGCAGCCAAGAGCCAAACAATGCCTTTCATGTTGTGCGTGTGTGCGTGTGTGTGCGTTCTGTGTGTGTGGCTGTGGCCATCGCCCGAGGTAGCAATATTTGTTTTCTTGCTTTCATCATTTGCATATAATGGAGCTGTAAAAGTTCATAAGATGTCCATGCAAAGCACTCCCGGGTCGGTTCCTGTTGCCTGCATCGCATGCAACGCTTTCGATTGAGGCCAGGAATTTAATAAGCCAAACTATGCATGCGATTTGATTTTGTAAAATTTTACAATACAATTTAAATTGATTTTCTAAATCCGAAACTAAGATCCGATAACAGGAGCTGCGCTCAAATCATTGGCCACAAAAAAATGCGCAACTTTTATGCTTTTACAAACACAACTGAAGGCAAAATGAAAAAATATTTGACTATTACGAGAGCTCGGGGATTCTCTTCCATTTGCAGCAAAATGAGAAAATATGCCGGACTTTTCGCGCTTTACATTCGCCGCACCTCGCCGCGACTGGGATTGGGATTGGGCATGGGATTTGCACTGTGACCCTCTGGTCCCGCCGTGACTTTAATGCGCGCTGTACAGGGCCGGCCGCAGGGAGTGGCAAGCGCAACAATTACTTCAGCGCTCCCCAGGGCAACATAAAAAGCCAAAAAAAAAAAAAAAAAAATGGAAAAACTGTATGGAAAATGAAAAGAAAACAAAAAACATCCGCATGCAGCTTTAAGTACTGACCGCCGGGCATGCGAGATTCCCCTTCGGAGCCCCACCACTCCTCGCTCTTAACAGTTCAACTAGACGTTAAACTAGGCAAAACTGTAGTTTTCGGTCTGGTTTCCTGTTTTTCCCTAGGTGTCTTCTCTCGGCTTGGCTTGCGTTAAAAATTGCATCGCATTAATAATAAATTGTTTCGACGGTTCGTCAGCGAAGACAATTGTTGGCCTAATTAGTTTGGGCTATCAAATAATCGTAATAGGCCCGCGCCGAAGGGAATTGGGCATGAAATATGCTGACAGTGCTCGTTAGCTTTTAAAAGGCAAAGTTATCTCTAAATATAAAACTGTTTGTCCCGACTGACTGATTGGTGATTAACACAGCACAGTAAGAGTTGGGAAGCTAAAAATATTTACTGTACTTACCTAAATCTAAAGTTTTGTCCGATTCGCTCTACATTAGAACTTAATGAATATGTGTTTTAGCTAAACATCGAACTAGCGAAAAACAAATGTGCGATCGGCTTCAAAATCATTTTCAACGATCTTTATCAAAAATCGGATGGGTGTTTCGCAGTTTTTTGAAAATTCATATTGGTGACTGACATTTCGCGTGTAAATTTACACATACTTTAATATGTACATAC